CACCACAAACTCGACTGAACGGACAAAAAAACAAGCTCAGCATTTCTCGAAAGGCGCCGAGCACATCCAGCCATCATCTATTCTCGGGAAATGGTAGCTGCAGTCCACCAACTTGGAAATGAGGACGTTCAGCTAGGCCCAAGCCAGTCGTGATACATTGCACGCAAACTGTTGTCTCTTGCAACTTGGATCCCAAGCGAGGCTGCTTGAACAGCTTCCTGCAGAGAGTAGCAGAGACCGGAGCATCGGATCATGAACGTGGGAGCGGGTGATGGAGCGGGGGCTGGGGCAGGCAGAACCGCCGTATCTTTATCACAGTTTTTCCCAGGCCACCAAATGGCGATACGCTGCATTATGCTGGATCCGCAACGCTGTAGTCCCCCAACATGGGCCCCCTGGCCACGCTTGACTTTCTGGCCGGACAATAGTCGACATAACGGCTACGTTTACTTCCTCGGGCGGCTTGAGGAAAAATTGCCACAACTGCCGAGTAGGAAACTTGCCCCCGCTACTCCTCACTGGCTGACTGCTACTTCCTCTGTGCACACCGGCACCACTACTGGCCGTGGTGGTAGGCTGCAGTGGAGCTGGTGCTCTACTCCGTGGCCGTTTGCCTCCACTGACACTGATGCGACCCTGCTGCCTCCTGGCCAACCCACCGACTGTTTTGCTCGCTGCCAAGCTGGCACCCTCTTCTCCTGATGATGCGGAAGAAATTACCTGATGACGACGAGGCTGCCAAGTGCGATCAGCCTCCTCATCATCAATTAGGGTCTCCGCCTCACTACTAGCCCCCTCAGCTGCGTGTGGGTCAGGAGACAGACCTGTCTCTAGACCGGCTACCGAGCCACTCTCCTCGCCAGTACTTCTTCGCCTGGCTGCTGAAGAGGCGGATGTCTCCCCCCGTTCCTGACCGCCCTCTGTTAGCTCTTCCTCACTGTACAGTGGGGCTGAGCCCACAGCATGCGATACTTCGCTTGGTGAGGGAACAGTAAAGGACAGGGGCAGGTAGAGGACACGTGATTTCAGTGGGCTTGCTCCCGGGCCATGCCAACTAACGGTTGTGTCTGATATACACACCGACCGTTGGCTGTAGGTGTCAGAGGTGACCTGGGAAGAGGAAGACGACCGAGCCAACCAATCGATGACGGCAGGGTTGTCGGTGGAGACACGACCGCTGGATGACACCGGGAGCACTGCCTCTGGCTGCGACTAGTGCTGCCTCGACCCCTTCCTCTGCTGCCACGTCTGCTCGCTCCTAAAAACATTGCCTCCTCTGCCACTCCTCTGCATGTTGTCTGACATACTCTTTAATTCAACGATTATGTGTCCCTGAGTAACAATTCTGTGTCCCTGAGTAACAATTCTGTGTCTGTCCCTGAGTAACAATTCTGTGTCCCTCAGTAACACTTCTGTGTCCCTCAGTAACAATTCTGTGTCCCTCAGTAACAATTCTGTGTCCCTCAGTAACAATTCTGTGTCTGTCCCCGAGTAACAATTCTGTGTCTGTCCCTGAGTAACAATTCTGTGTCCCTGAGTAACAATTCTGTGTCCCTCAGTAACAATTATGTGTCCCTCAGTAACAATTCTGTGTCTGTCCCTGAGTAACAATTCTGTGTCCCTGAGTAACAATTCTGTGTCCCTGAGTAACAATTCTGTGTCCCTCAGTAACAATTCTGTGTCCCTGAGTAACAATTCTGTGTCCCTCAGTAACAATTCTGTGTCTGTCCCTGAGTAACAATTCTGTGTCCCTGAGTAACAATTCTGTGTCTCTGAGTAACAATTCTGTGTCCCTCAGTAACAATTCTGTGTCCCTGAGTAACAATTCTGTGTCCCTCAGTAACAATTCTGTGTCTGTCCCTGAGTAACAATTCTGTGTCCCTGAGTAACAATTCTGTGTCCCTGAGTAACAATTCTGTGTCCCTCAGTAACAATTCTGTGTCCCTGAGTAACAATTCTGTGTCCCTCAGTAACAATTCTGTGTCCCTGAGTAACAATTCTGTGTCCCTCAGTAACAATTCTGTGTCTGTCCCTGAGTAACAATTCTGTGTCCCTGAGTAACAATTCTGTGTCCCTGAGTAACAATTCTGTGTCCCTCAGTAACAATTCTGTGTCCCTGAGTAACAATTCTGTGTCCCTCAGTAACAATTCTGTGTCTGTCCCTGAGTAACAATTCTGTGTCCCTGAGTAACAATTATGTGTCCCTCAGTAACAATTCTGTGTCCCTGAGTAACAATTCTGTGTCCCTCAGTAACAATTCTGTGTCCCTCAGTAACAATTCTGTGTCGGTCCCTGAGTAACAATTCTGTGTCTGTCCCTGAGTAACAATTCTGTGAGTGTCCCTGAGTAACAATTCTGTGTCCCTCAGTAACAATTCTGTGTCCCTCAGTAACAATTCTGTGTCTGTCCCTGAGTAACAATTCTGTGTCCCTGAGTAACGATTCTGTGTCCCTGAGTAACAGTTCTGTGTCCCTGAGTAACAGTTCTGTGTCCCTCAGTAACAATTCTGTGTCTGTCCCTGAGTAAAAATTCTGTGTCCCTCAGTAACAATTCTGTGTCCCTCAGTAACAATTCTGTGTCCCTCAGTAACAATTCTGTGTCTGTCCCTGAGTAACAGTTCTGTGTCCCTGAGTAACAGTTCTGTGTCCCTGAGTAACAGTTCTGTGTCCCTGAGTAACAATTCTGTGTCCCTCAGTAACAATTCTGTGTCCCTGAGTAACAATTCTGTGTCCCTCAGTAACAATTCTGTGTCTGTCCCTGAGTAACAATTCTGTGTCCCTGAATAACAATTCTGTGTCCCTCAGTAACAATTCTGTGTCCCTGAGTAACAATTCTGTGTCCCTCAGTAACAATTCTGTGTCCCTCAGTAACAATTCTGTGTCTGTCCCTGAGTAACAATTCTGTGTCTGTCCCTGAGTAACAATTCTGTGTCCCTCAGTAACAATTCTGTGTCCCTCAGTAACAATTCTGTGTCTGTCCCTGAGTAACAATTCTGTGTCCCTGAGTAATGATTCTGTGTCCCTGAGTAACAGATCTGTGTCCCTGAGTAACAGTTCTGTGTCCCTCAGTAACAATTCTGTGTCTGTCCCTGAGTAACAATTCTGTGTCCCTCAGTAACAATTCTGTGTCCCTCAGTAACAATTCTGTGTCTGTCCCTGAGTAACACTTCTGTGTCCCTGAGTAAAAGTTCTGTGTCCCTGAGTAACAGTTCTGTGTCCCTCAGTAACAATTCTGTGTCTGTCCCTGAGTAACAATTCTGTGTCCCTGAGTAACGATTCTGTGTCCCTGAGTAACAGTTCTGTGTCCCTGAGTAACAGTTCTGTGTCCCTCAGTAACAATTCTGTGTCTGTCCCTCAGTAACAATTCTGTGTCCCTCAGTAACAATTCTGTGTCTGTCCCTGAGTAACAGTTCTGTGTCCCTGAGTAACAGTTCTGTGTCCCTGAGTAACAGTTCTGTGTCCCTCAGTAACAATTCTGTGTCTGTCCCTGAGTAACAATTCTGTGTCCCTCAGTAACAATTCTGTGTCCCTCCATAACAATTCTGTGTCCCTCAGTAACAATTCTGTGTCTGTCCCTGAGTAACAGTTCTGTGTCCCTGAGTAACAGTTCTGTGTCCCTGAGTAACAATTCTGTGTCCCTCAGTAACAATTCTGTGTCTGTCCCTGAGTAACAATTCTGTGTCCCTCAGTAACAATTCTGTGTCCCTCAGTAACAATTCTGTGTCCCTCAGTAACAATTCTGTGTCCCTCAGTAACAATTCTGTGTCCCTCAGTAACAATTCTGTGTGTCCCTGAGTAACAATTCTGTGTCTGTCCCTGAGTAACAATTCTGTGTCTGTCCCTGAGTAACAATTCTGTGTCCCTCAGTAACAATTTTGTGTCCCTCAGTAACAATTCTGTGTCTGTCCCTGAGTAACAATTCTGTGTCCCTGAGTAACGATTCTGTGTCCCTGAGTAACAGTTCTGTGTCTGTGTCCCTGAGTAACAATTCTGTGTCTGTCCCTGAGTAACAGTTCTGTGTCCCTGAGTAACAGTTCTGTGTCCCTGAGTAACAATTCTGTGTCCCTCAGTAACAATTCTGTGTCTGTCCCTGAGTAACAATTCTGTGTCTGTCCCTGAGTAACAATTCTGTGTCCCTGAGTAACAGTTTCTGTGTCCCTCAGTAACAATTCTGTGTCTGTGTCTGTCCCTGAGTAACAGTTCTGTGTCCCTGAGTAACAGTTCTGTGTCCCTGAGTAACAGTTCTGTGTCCCTCAGTAACAATTCTGTGTCTGTCCCTGAGTAACAATTCTGTGTCCCTCAGTAACAATTCTGTGTCCCTCAGTAACAATTCTGTGTCTGTCCCTGAGTAAAAGTTCTGTGTCCCTGAGTAACAGTTCTGTGTACCTGAGCAACAGTTCTGTGTCCCTCAGTAACAATTCTGTGTCTGTCCCTGAGTAACAATTCTGTGTCCCTCAGTAACAATTCTGTGTCCCTCCGTAACAATTCTGTGTCTGTCCCTGAGTAACAGTTCTGTGTCCCTGAGTAACAGTTCTGTGTCTCTGAGTAACAGTTCTGTGTCCCTGAGTAACAATTCTGTGTCCCTGAGTAACAATTCTGTGTCCCTCAGTAACAATTCTGTGTCCCTCAGTAACAATTCTGTGTCTGTCCCTGAGTAACAATTCTGTGTCCCTCAGTAACAATTCTGTGTCCCTCCGTAACAATTCTGTGTCTGTCCCTGAGTAACAGTTCTGTGTCCCTGAGTAACAGTTCTGTGTCTCTGAGTAACAGTTCTGTGTCCCTGAGTAACAATTCTGTGTCCCTGAGTAACAATTCTGTGTCCCTCAGTAACAATTCTGTGTCCCTCAGTAACAATTCTGTGTCCCTCAGTAACAATTCTGTGTCTGTCCCTGAGTAACAATTCTGTGTCCCTGAGTAACAATTCTGTGTCCCTCAGTAACAATTCTGTGTCCCTCAGTAACAATTCTGTGTGTCCCTGAGTAACAATTCTGTGTCCCCTGAGTAACAATTCTGTGTCCCTCAGTAACAATTCTGTGTCCCTCAGTAACAATTCTGTGTCCCTCAGTAACAATTCTGTGTCTGTCTCTGAGTAACAATTCTGTGTCCCTGAGTAACAATTCTGTGTCCCTGAGTAACAATTCTGTGTCCCTCAGTAACAATTCTGTGTCCCTCAGTAACAATTCTGTGTCTGTCCCTGAGTAACAATTCTGTGTCTGTCCCTGAGTAACAATTCTGTGTATGTCCCTGGGTAACAATTCTGTGTCCCTCAGTAACAATTCTGTGTCCCTCAGTAACAATTCTGTGTCTGTCCCTGAGTAACAATTCTGTGTCTGTCCCTGAGTAACAATTCAGTGTCTGTCCCTGAGTAACAATTCTGTGTCCCTAAGTAACGTTTCTGTGGCCCCAAGTAACGGTTCTGTGTCCCTAAGTAATGATTCTGTGGCCCTAAGTAAAGTTTCTGTGGCCCTAAGTAACGATTCTGTGGCCCTAAGTAACGATTATGTGGCCCTAAGTAACGTTTCTGTGGCCCTAAGTAACGATTCTGTGGCCCTAAGTAACGTTTCTGTGGCCCTAAGTAATGTTTCTGTGGCCCAGGTAACGATTCTGTGGCCCTAAGTAACGTTTCTGTGGCCCTAAGTGTGCCCTAAGTAACGATTCTGTGGCCCTAAGTAACGTTTCTGTGGCCCTAAGTAACGTTTCTGTGGCCCTAACGTTTCTGTGTCCCTAAGTAACGTTTCTGTGGCCCTAAGTAATGGTTCTGTGGCCCTAAGTAACGTTTCTGTGTCCCTAAGTAACGTTTCTGTGTCCCTAAGTAACGTTTCTGTGGCCCTAAGTAACGTTTCTGTGGCCCTAAGTAACGATTCTGTGTCCCTAACTCTGTCCCTAATACAGAGAGGTCTGCCTCTCTTGAATGACTGGAGGCAAATGGAGAATTCTAAGATGGCCGCCATTTATAGCTCGACCATTACACAGTGCTGGCTGGCTGGCTGCTGATTGGCTAATGCGATCACATGTCATGAATGAATGCATTATGGGTCAGCGCGCCCTTGTCTGCGTGCCTTCCCAGACATCCCCGCTCCGTCGCCGCACATGTCGCCGCCATTTTAGGAAAAATTTCGATTCGCGCATCCGAAGTATGCTAATTTTCGGATTCGAAAAAGTAATGATTCTGTGGCCCTAAGTAAAGTTTCTGTGGCCCTAAGTAACGATTCTGGGCCCTAAGTAACGATTATGTGGCCCTAAGTAACGTTTCTGTGGCCCTAAGTAACGATTCTGTGGCCCTAAGTAACGTTTCTGTGGCCCTAAGTAACGTTTCTGTGGCCCAGGTAACGATTCTGTGGCCCTAAGTAACGTTTCTGTGGCCCTAAGTAACGTTTCTGTGGCCCTAAGTAACGATTCTGTGGCCCTAAGTAACGTTTCTGTGGCCCTAACGTTTCTGTGTCCCTAAGTAACGTTTCTGTGGCCCTAAGTAATGGTTCTGTGGCCCTAAGTAACGTTTCTGTGTCCCTAAGTAACGTTTCTGTGTCCCTAAGTAACGTTTCTGTGGCCCTAAGTAACGTTTCTGTGGCCCTAAGTAACGATTCTGTGTCCCTAACTCTGTCCCTAATACAGAGAGGTCTGCCTCTCTTGAATGACTGGAGGCAAATGGAGAATTCTAAGATGGCCGCCATTTATAGCTCGACCATTACACAGTGCTGGCTGGCTGGCTGCTGATTGGCTAATGCGATCACATGTCATGAATGAATGCATTATGGGTCAGCGCGCCTTGTCTGCGTGCCTTCCCAGACATCCCCGCTCCGTCGCCGCACATGTCGCCGCCATTTTAGGAAAAATTTCGATTCGCGCATCCGAAGTATGCTAATTTTCGGATTCGGCGCGAATCGAAATTTTTCTAATATTCGAAACGAATTCCACTTCGCCTACTTCGATTCGCTCATCTCTACTTGCTATGTTCATCATGACCGGGGTAGGTGGGTCTGTGCGGACCCTCGCTATATTCATCATGACCGGGGGTAGGTGGGTCTGTGCGAACCCTCGCTATATTCATCATAACAGGGGTAGGTGTGTCTGTGCGGACCCTCGCTATATTCATCATGATGGGGGGTAGGTGGGTCTGTGCGGACCCTCGCTATATTCATCATGACCGGGGTAGGTGTGTCTGTGTGCATTTGTATGGAGGGAATCACTGCATGCATCTCCTGTGTCTTCATTGTTTCTATTAGGGATTTATCAAAAATATAAACCAGGAAAGATGTTGCTGAACAATGAATGCGATCCGACCGAGAATGACTTCCAGCAATAATTCCATGGAATAGTGCGACTATCACTACACATCAAACTACATCCATCCTGTACTCCGGACTCCTCTCCTGGGCACTCCTCTCCTGCACATACCGTCATACCCTCTAGAATGCTCTCCTGCAAATGCTGTCACCCTCTGCACTCCTCTCCTGCAAATGCGGTCACTGTCTGCACTCCTCTCCTGCAAATGCTGTCACTCTCTGCACTCCTCTCCTGCAAATGCGGTCACTGTCTGCACTCCTCTCCTGCAAATGCGGTCACTGTCTGCACTCCTCTCCTGCAAATGCTGTCACCCTCTGCACTCCTCTCCTGCAAATGCTGTCACTCTCTGCACTCCTCTCCTGCAGGTGCCATCATACCCTCTGTACTCCTCTCCTGCACATGCGGTCACCCTCTGTACTCCTCTCCTGCACATGCGGTCACCCTCTGTACTCCTCTCCTGCACATGCGGTCACCCTCTGTACTCCTCTCCTGCACATGCGGTCACCCTCTGTACTCCTCTCCTGCACATGCTGTCACCCTCTGTACTCCTCTCCTGCACATGCTGTCACCCTCTGTACTCCTCTCCTGCACATGCTGTCACCCTCTGCACTCCTCTCCTGCACGTGCCATCATACCCCCTGCCATCCTCTCCTGCACGTGCCGTAATACGCTCTGCACTCCTCTACTGCACATGCTATCACCCTCTGCACTCTTCTCCTTCATATGCTGTCATATCCTCTGCACTCCTCTCCTGCACATGCGGTCATCCTCTGCACTCCTCTCCCGCACATGGTGTCATACCCTCTGCACTCTTCTCCCGCACTACCCACTAAAACAATTCTTCAGCTTTATCTGTAACACCCCAATCGTGTCCATCCTGGATTGGCGCACATTTACTATTATATAAACATCGTTGTGATAATAAGAGAAATTTTGGGTGTCAGACTCCATTTTTAAAAGTTGAATGCTGGCCAATAACAATTTTATATTATATTCTACAGTGAAGGAAATGCATATCTGCTCCCCAGCTGATGGTGAATGTTCGCCCCTCACACAGAAATGATTGGTCTAACAATGGAATGTTCGCCCCTCACACAGAAATGATCGGTCTAACAATGGAATGTTCGGTGTAACACTGAGAGACAGAATACAACAACAAATTCAGCAGAAATGCGTCTAACAAATGATGACTGATCTACATGTTCATGAGGGAAAGAAGGATTTGATCCCCTTCACAAAACATGACTTAGTGCTTGCTGGCAAATCCCTTCTTGGCAATCCCAGAGGTCAGGCGTTACCTGGAGTTGGCCACCAGCTTTGCACACATTTCAGGAGGGATTTGGGCCCACTCCTCTTGGCAGATCCTCTCCAAGTCATTCTGGTTTGGTGGCTGATATTTGGCAACTCCAACTTTCAGCTCCCTCCACAGATATTTTCAATCGGATGAAGCTCTGGAGACTGGCTAGGCCACTCCAGGACCTTAATGTGCTTCTTCTCCAGCCGCTGCTTTGTTGCCTTGGCCGTGTGTTTTGGCTCCTTGTCATGCTGGAACAGCCACCCGCCATTTTCAATGCCCTGGCTGAGGGAAGAAGGTTCTCACCCAAGATTTGCCGGTACATTGCCCCGTCCATGGTCCCCTTGATGCGGTGCAGTTGTCCTGTCCCCTTAGCAGAAAAACACCCCCAAAGCAGAATGTTTCCACCACCATGTTTGACAGTTGGGATGGTGTTCTTGGGGTCATAGGCAGCATTCCTCGTCCTCCTCCTCCTCCAAACACGGCTAGTTGAGTTGATGCCAAAGAGCTCCATGTTGGTCGTCTCATCTGACCAGGACACTTTCAACCAGTCCTGCTCTGCCTCATTCAGATGTTCAGTGGCAGACTTCAGACGGGCCTGGACATGTGCTCTCTTGAGCAGAGGGACCTTGCGGGCACTGCGGGATTTCAATCCTCGTCGGCGTAGTGTGTTACCCATTGTTCTCTTGGTGACTGCGGTCCCAGCTGGCCGGAGATCATTGACAAGATCCTCACTCGTAGTTCTGGGATGATGCCTCACTGTTGTCATGATCACTGACACTCCACGAGGGGAGATCTTGCACGGTGCACCGGTCCTAGGGAGACTGACAGTTGCTTTGTGTTTCTTCCATTTGCGAATGATTGCACCGACTGTTGTCACCTTCTCACCAAACTGCTTGGCCATAGTTTGGTAGCCCAGTCCAGCCTTGTGTAGGTCTTCGATCCTGTTCCTGACATCCCTGGACAGCTCTTTGGTCTTTGCCATGGTGGAGGGTTTGGAATCTGATGGTTTGATTGCTCCTGTGGACAGGTGTCTTTTATACAGGTAAGAAAATGAGATTAGCATCTCTCCCTTTAAGAGGCTGCTTCTAATCTCAGCTTGTTACCTGTGTGAAAGACACCTGGGAGCCAAAAATGCTGCTGAATGATAGGGGATGGAATACTTATTTCCCTCATGAACATGCAGATCCGTCATCATTGGTTAGACGCATTTCTGCTGAATTTGTTGTTGCTATTCTGTCTCTCTGTGTTACACCGAACATTCCATTGTTAGACCGATCATTTCTTTGTGAGGGGCGAACATTCAAAATCAGCCGGGGATCAAATACGCATTTCCATCACTATATTTATGTTATATACAACTCTGGCTTTCCCTCCCTCCTATACAGTCTGAACTCCCGGAGCTGAGAGTTATCGTTCCGGCTGGAGGACTCTCAGACTTCAGCTTCTCCATTCAATAAACATCTTCAATTCTTTTTAACGAATGCAAGGCAATCTGTGATTGGAAGAGGGTCAGTTGAATGTCATGATCTCCCCTCCTCCAATCACAGAGTGCCTTGCACCTAGGTCAGTCTGCATGCAAATTTTGCCTGCCTAGAAAATTACTCCAAACTGACATCCAACCATCAAGGTATTTGGATGTTTGCAACAGCCCACTACTTGTTTTTTATGCATTTGTGACGAGTTCCGGTGCATTTTTTATGCATTTTTGGCGCATTCGGGTGCGTTTTTTATGCATTCCAGTTTATTTTTTCCCTTCTCTTTTTCTTTTTTTCTTTCTTTTTTAATTTATTTCAGGTACTCATATAGCGAGGTCAATGTACACAGCGCTTTACATATATATTTTACATTCACATCAGTCCCTAACCCTCAAGGGGCGTACAATCTAACCCCAGGTTCACACCTAAGCGTTTTCCGCAGCATTTTGCAGAAACGCAGTACGGTTCATTTAACATGATTTCCTATGGGACACGTTCAATCTCCGCGTTTTCACCCCGGTGCGTTTTTTGGAAAGGGTCAGGGGGCAAAGTGGGGTGAAAGTGTCCGGACTGGAAGGGGGTGAAAGTGTCCGGACTGGAAGGGGGGGAAAGGGGGGAAGTGTCCGGACTGGAAGGGGGGGAAAGTGTCCGGACTGGAAGGGGGGGAAAGCGTCCGGACTGGAAGGGGGGGAAAGTGTCCGGACTGGAAGGGGGGGAAAGTGTCCGGACTGGAAGGGGGGGAAAGTGTCCGGACTGGAAGGGGGTGAAAGCGTCCGGACTGGAAGGGGGGGAAAGTGTCCGGACTGGAAGGGGGGGGAAGCGTCCGGACGGGAAGGGGGGGAAAGTGTCCAGACTGGAAGGGGGTGAAAGCGTCCGGACTGGAAGGGGGTGAAAGTGTCCGGACTGGAAGGGGGTGAAAGTGTCCGGACTGGAAGGGGGGGAAAGCGTCCGGACTGAAAGGGGGGGAAAGCGTCCGGACTGGAAGGGGGGGAAAGTGTCCGGACTGGAAGGGGGGGAAAGTGTCCGGACTGGAAGGGGGGGGAAGTGTCCGGACGGGAAGGGGGGGGAAGTGTCCGGACTGGAAGGGGGGGGAAGTGTCCGGACTGGAAGGGGGGGAAAGTGTCCAGACTGGAAGGGGGTGAAAGCGTACGGACTGGAAGGGGGGGAAAAGTGTCCGGACTGGAAGGGGGTGAAAGTGTCCGGACTGGAAGGGGGGGAAGTGTCCGGACTGGAAGGGGGTGAAAGCGTCCGGACTGGAAGGGGGGGAAAGTGTCCGGACTGGAAGGGGGGGAAGTGTCCGGACTGGAAGGGGGGGGAAGTGTCCGGACTGGAAGGGGGGGA